GTTTGGGGACTATATAAAACGCATCTATCCCATCGAACTTCAGATAAAGGATACAATACATGCATTTAAGTATGCCTCATAATTTTATCTAGAAATCAGCAATGAGGGTCGGTTGAACACAAAACTTTACGACAAATAAAGGCAAAAGAGATGATTTCAGCTTCCAAATTGTGAAATTTTATTTCTATATATTGAGTATACAGTTGATACGATATTCCAGAGCTTGTATTTCCTATCATGATTTCCTTGATCATGTTGATAGAGGGTTGCTGCTCACAAGGAAGTTTATCAAAGTTGAAATCATCCCTTCGTAAATTTTACGGACGCCATCACGAGTTGGTTGGAATATCTGTTTCACAGATGACGACGGATATGTTCCAATTGTCGTTACACAATACTGTCCTTTTTTCCCCGGATGTGACCTACCGAATAAGACTTTAATACCGGGTTTGTACTTACATGAGCAACACGACGGGTGCCACTTGTAGAGCAGGATCTACCGGGGAACCTGAGATCATCCTTGGTTTTTGGTGGGGTCTGTGTTGCTCAGTCTTAATTTTCTAAGTTGTGTTTTGTGTACTGTTGTTTGTCTCTTAGTCTTTTTCTTTTTTTTTTTTTTGCCAAGGCGTTATCAGTTTATTTTCAACTTATGAGTTTGAATGTCCCATTGGTATCTTTCGCCTCTCTTTTGAAAATACATAGCTTATTTGAAAATGTAGAGTTTATAAACCAAAAATGATTAATATTTTTCAGGATTAAACGATTATCAGCAGTCGATGCTTTTTTATTAAATTTAAAATATAACTTCTCGTGACGGACTAAGTTTTGTCTTGTTGAACCGTACAAGTCAAACACATTAACAAACATCGTTTCATTGCTTTCCTTACATATAGGGGAAAGCAAAAACATAAAAGATTTTGGTAAGTAACGCTTCTCCCATTGAGGATTCCGACAATGTCATACTTCAGGTGTAAAGAACAACTCAATGACTTCGAGAGATCTATGTGTTTATCAGTAAATAAAATGATAGAACAAAATAGTATCCCAACATTTTATACGACTTTTTGGGAAATATGCCATATTTCTATCGGAAATCACTGAGGAAGTCTGAAGTTTTTATACAACTTACGGAACGCAATATTTGTTTTGCTAAGGTTTTTGTCATTTGTGATGTGTTTACTTTACCTTGTCCTTGTATGCAATTGCTTGACTCTTCTAATTCCACCATTGATTCGTAAATGTTAAATCGACATCATCATATTGTTTTACAAACGACATGCCTGTATGAAACTAGTAAATTAATTACTCAACCATGGGATAGACATGTAAAACGCATGTTTATAAAATTTACTATGGCGAACGAACGTGTCTTAATAACTATTAACTGTAAAGGGAACTAGAGTCATTCCATTATAAAACCATTAAAATTCATGGTTATCAAGACATTAAGAGAAGTGTTTGGTGCTTTTAACCCTCTTAGAATGATACTTATGAGACCAATGAAATGTAATTGTGATCATCAATCAAAATCTGGATAATATATCTCTGTAAGTTAATTTTGCATTTATTTACAACTTTCTTCGTGCTATTTAGATGTTGTGCTAGGAATTTGTTTCGCTTTTTTCAGGGGACAATTATGTACGTCCCATCTGGGGGACAAGTTTTATATTGGATACATCTAGCACTACCGCAGATGCCTATCATTTGATAGAAAATTGGATAACTAATCGGAAATATTGAATAGATATTATCGCAATAGTATATATGTTATTACTGATTGTTTAATTTGGTGTTTTTATTATGTTTACTTATTTCCTTTGTCAGAATTTCTAACTAAAATGTGTATGAATATCTCTCATCTTTCCATACAAAACTAAATTTCGTGTTTGTCCTGTACTAAACAGGGAATTTGGCTAAATAAAAATGTCCTTCACACAAAAATGCTGCTTAATGCTCTGAAAATAATTCAAAATGCAGTGTATTTAAAGTTTTACATTTGACTTTTTTTATTCTAAATTTCATGCTTAGTTTTTTTCTTTCTCTAAATTCAGATTTTAGGTGTCATATACATCCTTGCAAATTATTGAGCGCTTATTTTTTTACACTTGAATTGTCTCGCTTATTCTTGTTGTGTTATTAAAAACAAATACCACCAACAACAACAAAAAAACCAACAACACCATCAACAACACCAACAACAAAAACAACAACACCAACAACCAACTTTAGTTTTTTTTTCTTGTACTTTTTTTATGGTGTTGAAGATTTTCATATACTGGTGTACACTTCTTTGTTATCACTCAATTTGCCAGTTTATTTCAACGGATGGAAAGATGCTTCTTTTGAAAAATAGTAATAACTTTTTGTCTGATTTGTTACTAAAGGATTGTTTATGTCGTCTAATTGACCAACTAAAAAGATCGGTTTGTATTCAAGGTTTGTTTAATAAAAACTAATAAGTATAGAATAATTGCAAGCTCATGATGTTAAATGTATGCAATATTATCCTTTAAATTACAAAATAAAGGTTTCATTAATAGATTGATCATATATAATTTGTATTCATCGTGATCATGTTATTTGAGAACAGTTCTTTAAACTCATAAAGGAGCCAGGAAGAGTTGTTTTATAACAAGCGACGCAAATGAGGACTTCAGTCAATAGTTCTAGTCAATCTTCCTTGACAACTGAATATAAACAAAGCAGAGCAAAATAGAAAAGTACATACACACAGTTGTTTCTAAAACGTTTGAAGATCCGAATAGGACATTCAGACCACTCTTCAAACAAACGAGGAAAACACTATTCAAAGCGAAAATAAATTTCACTAATTTTTAAAAAAAAAAGCACTACACAGTAACAATGAGTAATGTACATATCTAAAGAGTGAAACAACACATACACTTTTATCAAGCTGCAAGACCGACTAGAAAATAATGATCAATAGGATAATATATACTTTTAGAATCACTACTTTTCCATAATAAACTCTTATCTTGCTTACTATTTTTCAGATGTGTATTTGTCAGCAAGTTTTTTTTATATTTTTATTTTTAATTGTATAATTATTTATATTAATCATGTTAATATGTTCTTAATCGTATATTCATATATATAATTTTCTAAACAAATCTCTTTTTCAATGTTTTTTTTCTCCGACACAGAGATGGATTATCATCGTCTAACGAATAAAAACTTTTAAGTTGTATTTTAACTGGAACAATGATGAAATTTGACATTAACTGGGACAATGTACTACAATTTAAGCAAGAAGTTTGCCGACAGATACTATCAATGCATTCCAATTATTTGAATTGCATTAATCTACTTAAAAGGCATGAAAGGCACGGATATGCCTAATGCATCCAAGTCTCAATCCTATCTTTGGTCACACACACTTTATGGTCTCTATATAGAGCAATCCAAGCTAAAGAACATGTTTCAGACAAAAAAATTTGTTGTGTTGTTTGAATTAGGTATAATATGTTCATGTTAAATTCAAAAGGTCGTATTCATACACATTGCCAGTAAATTTGTTATATGGTCTTTGAGGTTTGATATGCGTTAGTAAGGGTTAAAGCGCGTCGGCCAGATGTTTGAATAATGTGTCCGGGAAGGGTGATATGTCTCCCAGATTTACAATTTGAACTAACGTTTAATATCAGACTCAGGGTGCCGGTCTAGTACAGAGCAGGCTTTATATTGATATCACATTAACATGTTCGAGTCCAGAATGTGAATTGAATTTGGCAGTCGGCGTTAAATAGCCACCCTGTATCATCTTCAGCGCCAATTATTGTTTTGGCTTTCGAAATCTTTTCATGATATATTACAGGTGATTAAAGAAATACATATGATGTGCGAATATGTGTTAATGTTACTATGTCTTAACATATAATAGTTGCATATCATTTATCACCAGACTGATTGAGTACTGTACAGATACTTTAGTACAAGCAATCTTAAGATGTATATAAACTGTACATTTGTAAAGATGTATATAACCTGTACATTTGTAAAGATGTATATAAACTGTACATTTGTAAAGATGTATATAAACTGTACATTTGTAAAGATGTATATAAACGGTACATGTGTAAAGATGTATATAAACTGTACATTTGTAAAGATGCATATAAACTATATAATTGAGAATGGAAATGGGGAATATGTCAAAGAGACAACAACCCGACCAAAGAGCAGACAACAGCCGAAGGCCATCAATGGGTCTTCAACGCAGCGAGAAAATCCCGCACCCGGGGGTGGTCCTCAGCTTGCCCCTAAATAAAATTGTGTACTAGTTCAGTGAAAATGGACGTCACACTAAACTCCAAAACATATAAATGAACTAAAATTAAAAAAACATACAAGACTAACAAAAGCCAGAGGCTCCTGACTTAGGACAGGCGCAAAAATGCGGCGGGGTTAAACATGTTTTGTGAGATCTCAACCCTCCCCCTATACCTCTAGCCAATGTAGAATAAACACATAGCAATACGCACAGTAAAACTCAGTTCAAAAGAAGTCCGAGTCCGATGTCAAAAAAAGGTAACAAAAGAAACTAAGCAAAATGACAATGATACATAAATGAACAAAGGACTACTACCAGTTACTGACATGCCAGCTCCAGACCTCAATTAAACTGATTGAAAGATTATGTCTTCATCATATGAAAATCAAGTACAATCCCTCCCGTAAGGGGTTTAGTATCATACCATCATAAAATATATGAGAAGAACATAACCAGTATCATATAAACTGTACATTTGTAAAGATATATATACACTTTACTTGTTAAAAGATTTATATAAACTGTACATCTGTTGAGATCCATATAAACTGACTCTAAATCTGGTAAAATGTTTATAATACATGTTGTATGTACATCTTTAAAGATGAATGTAAACTGTACATTTTAAGCGATATATATCATCTGTGTATGTCCATCATTACAGATATGCAAATATTTTAACAATCTGATACCTAAATAAACAAAACAGTTTAACAAAATGTTTATTAAAATAACACAGTCATGCTTTCAAACCTGTATAAGCTTATACATGTACATCTTTTTAATGATGACCATAAAGTGAAAATAGCAGTACTACATGATATATATTACTTGTTTGTCTGATCTAGATAATGGTAATGACTTCCCTTTCTATGCAGAGAAATTTTTACTTTTTTCGTGTAACTTTTTATGATCCTGCGATAATATGTCAGTCTACATTGGAGTATATTGCTCGACTCCTATTTGACAGTCATCATTAATGAAACCCGGTTAAGTCGTCTAATTAGTTTCTTCAGTAAAAAAAAGAACCATTTGTTTTTTGATTGAACAGGATATTTGTTTACTTTAACAAACATGTGCATTTAAGCAGGGATTTTATTTTGTTCAGCTTTTCACGAATGTTTAATTGTGCATACAGAGCACATGATTCCAAGACAAAGTTACACCCTCCGTTTTTGTATGTGACAGGCATTTCCATAAATAAAAACATGTCTATATTGTCAAGATGTTCCATCATATTTACGGTCGTTGAACTATGTGTATTGGGCTAGATGCTACTAAAAATGTGATTCAATTCACTTGGATTGAAACATTTTGTTTTATATGATATTTTATATAAATACTAAAACTGAATATACCCTTTAAGGTTTTTAACTCTCCCAAAATAACTACGGGTTTTTCAACTTTGGTATGTCGATACACTTTTTTAAAATTCTTATTAAAATTCATGAACATTACAGAACTAGCAAAACTAAATATCGCGTTTTCAGTGCTGCACAGAAGAGAATAGAAGCTTCTTCCAATTATTTCTTTAATACTAAATTTTAATAACTTTATCTAAATTACAAACTTTTTTTATAAGTTATACCAGACTTCATTTTTTGACTATCCGTAATGATTGTGTGTCAATCCATATTGAATGGCAATAAAATTCTGCATTAATTCTAAATTTCATTAGGTCAATTTCCTCAATAATAACTTATATATCACACTGACTATTTATAAAAAGCCTAACATCTAATTGTTATTACATTTAGCTTTCCAAATGTCAAAACCAAAGCATTATGAAGTATGATTACAAATTTCGATTAAAATGGATGTTGAGTCAGCAAATCGACAATCTAAAAGAGACAATATATACATCATATCTATATTTGCCGGAAATACACAGTTCTTTAAACATAAACTCAACCTATAAGTCACTTTCATTGTCCGATTTTATTCCGAACCATTATAGATCAACTTAGAGAGATTTGACAATTTTAGATAAGCAACACATAAATGCATAATGTATCAACGTTGAAATATAAGTTTAGGTAAATGACGCAAGTTAACAAAATAAACTATCATGTTAACAGTATATAAAAGGAACATGTAAACATTAAAAAATATAAATGGACGGTATCGAAAACTGTGATCCAAAAAGAGGTATGATTATACCAAACGGACTAACAGCAGAAGTCCTCAATAAATAAAAATAAATGAATGAAGAATAATAAAAAAGCAAACCGATAGGTGAATTTAAATAAAACAGTTATGTCAATTTCTGCTGCTAAATTGATTCATATGGATATTTCATTAATAAATATGCATGTTTGTAAACATTTCGCTATAATAAAAAAAAAATGGGTTCACCAATCGAAGATATGGTGATACTACAGCAGCAATTCTAGTAAGACATGTTATCCGAAAGAGTTATATAAATAACATTGAATAAGCAAGTGGGAAAAAAGTAATATGTTATACACAAACATGTTATTTTGGATTCATACTTTGAAAAATTACAAAGAGTATTACATATTATTCGTTTGTTCCTCTAACAATTCGAGTCTATTCATTTCAATGACTTTCTCTGTACGAAGTATCTAATATGATTTCATTTGCCCCATCTTTGTACTATTTGGTGGAATTGACGTCATACTACCATCGAACTGATTCACAGGTGCACTTGGGCTCACTGTTTGATTCATCTGCAAACGATTATTTTTTTCGTTTTGTATCGCCTCGTCATAAGTTGGAAGCTTTCCCTTTACATCGACAAAGCTGACCGCGCGCTTTGATACGGTTCTTTGTAAGAAGAGTCTGAAAAAATACATATTTATTTAAGTTACAGGAATTTGTTGATATTTACTTCTATATTAAAAATGTCTGCTTTTTTATTCTTTGATGTGGACATACGTACAATATTTCACAACGACACAAACAGAAATGCATTGTTGTACATGACCAAGACCGAAAGCGATGTGTGATTTATGTAGACTAGATATCAATCACAATCAGTTTGTATAAAATGGCACAACGTTTTATATTTACAAAATGAAAACAACACTTTATTAGATCATGCATTTGAAGCACTTTTGTTGATTTACCTTAATCAGGAACACTTTAAGCCGAATATTTAAAAAATAAGGATGTATAAGAAATGAAACAGTTGAAGAACTATATGACCAAATTTGACCTAAAATGATAGCTATATCAATCACAGGTAAACTTTGTATGAGGAGAAAATAAAGGTACAAATCTGTTTGCCTGAGGGAAATATAAATGTACAAATCTGTGACAAAGAAATGTTCAATACATTCCGATATACATTACATGGGAGGGAATCCAGTGACTGCTCATGTAAACATTCAAAAACAAATTTTGAAATTGTACATCTATACACAGAGCTGTTAGCTCATTTTCATGGCATAAAACTTCACTTTTATGTCATACGTATATTATTGAATGAAAACAACTAACGTCACAAGCTATCAGAACATTAAAATATCTTTAAAGTATTAATACAACTATTATATAGCGAACAGATGGATGAAAATTCTAGTATATAAATTCATACTTCGCACTTACTTTTAAAATCTGTTTGATTCATAGCGTTAACTTTAAAAATTTGTGTTTTTTTTACATCTATGTTACACTGGTTTATTAATGTGTTTTTGGATATGGCCTTTTCTATATTTATCTAACACTCACTTTACAAGAAGTATAGCCAGTAATATTGTGGAAAGTACTGCAAGCATAGCAACAATGGCCCATATGTAGGGCTTGTCATCTTTGTCATTCTCATCATCTAATAAAGCACAGGGAAATTCATGTTAAAAATATCATTCCAAAAGATACAGTGTTCATTTCCAAATCAAATTGGATCAAAGTAAAGACCATTTGTACAGTACGTAAAGAAAAAAGTTTAGCATCCCCAAGTTTTTGTAAAATGCCTAATGCTACGATAAGTATCGTGAGATAAAGGACCAAACCTTCGCAAAAGTATACATTTGACCTGTTAAGACATAACATTAGCTTTATGAAAACACAAAAAAATATTAAGAGAAATGATTTTTTATGGATAGATTACCACAAGCGCAGTTATTACACTGAAACATATTTTGACGCTGCGATGTTACGGGTTGTCTACCAGATCTTGATTTTCATGGAGTAAACGTGGGTGTGTTTTACACACACGTAGGCTGGTTACAGTATAGTGATTGCCAATCTGAGACACAATAGCTTTAAAGGACATCCATGTTGACCGCATGCCGATAATTTGTCATCATTGAACCTGCGATATTCGTCTTTTGCATTGTAAATGTATTTCTTCGTCAGAATAATGACTAGATTTTGCGACAATTTGACAAAGATATGATTAAATTACTTAAACATGAATTCATTTGAATAAAACCTTTTTTGATCAAGGTCCAAAAATCAATACTTTACATTCTAAAAGCATATTCCAAAAAATTTTGATTTACAAAATTTCACTAGACAATTCATTTGAATGGCACTAAGATATATATAGAATAACAATGATAAAATGTCGATACCTTTTGATGAATTGTGGTCTCCTGGTGGTGGTCTTTGTGTGGTGGTTGTAGGATCAGGAACAGGGAATGTACCTTAAATATCAAATGAATAACAAAATAATTTGATTACACCCATCATGTCCTCCTTTTATATGAAACTTTGTCGACGGCCCTATGGGCGTAATAAACTGGACAATAACAAATTACTAATAATAATGTATTTCTTCTGATTATTTGCATTGCATTATATCTTAACTGGATTAACAAAAGTAATTGTTCTAACCCACACTCCATTGTAAGGAATATTGTAATGTTTTCCCGTAACATTTCTAATTAATAATGTGTAATATCAAAAATGATATTAAACGCATCAACTATTTTTAATGGAGAATTCAACAAACTTTTTATTTCAAATGCCTGAAACATCGACACATTTTTGGAAGTAAAATGTAGTAACATGCGTGGTAGAAAATACAATTTGTCATACCAGGTAACATCATAAAAGTGATAATTACTTGATACGTGAACATTGCACTTCAACACAAACAAACGTCAACATACAAAGAAACGGACTGTAGATAATAATTGCCATATTCCTGACATGATACATGTCATTTCAAGAAAGAATATGGTGGGTTGAACTCGATTTATTGCTTGCTAAATCTCCCTTTTATATGTCAATGTTAAGAATACGACTAAACGAACAGTTGTTAAAACAGATTTTAATGTTTGACCAAACTTATTACCATCTTAGAGATGTGATTGAACAATAACTTAGCAAGTAAAACCTCTCATAAAATCAAAAGACTACATAAACAACTACTATATGCAATAAAGCTTTGATTTGCTGATTGAATTTTTGAAACAAGAATAAGAAATTTACAATTGTTGGAAATCCTTCCACAACATATTTTAGCATGGGTATGTACCCGTTGGTGTGTTTGAAATATACTGACTAGTATTCTTAACCTGAACATTGTATAAACTAACATGAAGATTGATTTCTGCTGAATTAGATATTGAAAATTAGAAATTAAAAAAAGTCCATACATTGATGTATACAAAAACCAATCTTACCAAAGCAGTAGGCTGATTTATCAGCATTCAACTGTGTCAAATAATAGGTCCTGTAGTTACCACAATTTCTAACTTTAATATCATACTTCTGATCACATGTGCTGTGTAATCCTGATTGACATACTTTTCTGTCAACGGTTTTGTCAGAAACATCTGGTAGGGTTCCTAAAAAATAAGAGCTTTAAAGTTGATCCAGCTTAAATCTGAATAGTTATAAGATACCAGTTTGTCATAAAGATTTTACAATTTTCATAACTTCACATGAAAATAATAATTAAGATGTATTTTAAACTCTCTCTTCGTAATATATAACTACGTCGAAAATAATTTATATAGCTAACAAAAGTATACACAACGGTCGGCAGACGCAAGTATTGTATCAAAAATATTCACCTTCCATCCAAAGCGGATATAAAGTTCCACACTGCATCATACCAACGCTTTCATTGACTATGTCATTTCCCGTCACACTATCAATTCTGTACCATCCTGTTGTTAATCGACTGTCCTCTATCGCTACGTCACTCGTCTGTAGTGTATAGTTCGATGACCGTTTCATTTCCCCTACGAGTATCCCGTAGTTACTGTTATGACATGGGTCGACTGAAACAATAATATATAACTTTTTTATTCAACTTTTCTAATTCTGAATTATTATGTGAATGTAATTGTTCTTTGTTATTAAAGTTGCACAAAAATTGTTTAATTTAAATTTTCTATAATTTTACCTTCATTGACCAAATCTATTATCCTTTTATAATGCATTGCTGTCCCATAGCTCATTGTGATAGTTTGTAAAGTCAGACAATATAAATTTCAAGCAACATTGTTGTTCGATATGCCACAATGACTACCTCACTTACACATAAGCATATTCAATGAATCGCGAAATCTTGTTTGACAATGTAATTTGACATATATTTTTAAAGTTCCAATCAAAATGAAAATACGTGTATATACCAAGTTTCCAGTGACTAAAACGTCAATGTAAGAAACCTAAAACTAAGCATTTAACATGGTACATTTCCACATATGCTGTTTTTTTTTTCCATTAAGGAATATATCACAATCATGCAAAGCTCTGATTTCTTGTCAGACTTCGGCTAAAATGTTTGTACTTTTCGGATTTACCAGCTCTTTATTATCAATAATAAATATGGCATTTACTAAGTCAGGAATATCACAGTTGTTTTCCGTTCGTTTGGTGTGTTTGAGCTTTTGATTATGCCATTTGATAAGGGTATTTTTGTAATTTTACTTTTTACTGAATTTCAAGTTAGCGATACCAAAAATTCATGGTCAACTACTTTAACTATACTCGATAATACGAGACAGACAAACGGACGGACGGACAATTGAACAACTCACAGACTGAAGAAGGTTAAAGTATAGTATTACACTCTTATCGCTATTGTTTTGTTATTATTCAGTCTTTTTCTTAGGTAGACCTTGATAACTTTACATGTATTTGACAAAACCTTTTGGAATTTGGGATCTTCAATGAATTTCAACTTCGTATGTTATTTGAATTTTTTTCTTTTTTTATTCGAGCGTCACTAATAAGGTTTTTTGTAGACGAAGCGCGTCTGGCTTGCACACTTATAAGCTTGGTATTATTGATTTTTTTCAAAGTATTTGGATTGTACAAAAATTACTTTAATGTGTATACGTATACACATTATTCGTTACATTTATGAAAGAGAGGGAAATTGAACTTATTGGAGCACATAGAAACGTTATACGTACATTCACATCCTGGTGTAAACCCTCCATTATCCGAAGTTTCTCCCACTGGACATTTCACCTCAGTACCTAAGAAAATGATTAATAGCATTATCCAGTCGTTGTACAAGTTACAAATAAATATAGATTTCAGTAGAACTATCAAATTTTGTAATAAATTCAACCAACATTGTACATGTTGTATATGTGGCTGGTAGTTGAAGAAGTTTCCTGAATTAAATCGTGCTAGGAATAACGATAAATGTATGCTGAGCTAGCTACTGATTGATTATTAATCTATTGATTCAAATAGCATTGCTGTGTCAGTATGAGTTTTAGCAATACATCGTGTTTTCACATTTCCCGTTACTCATGAAAATGAATCAGCTGTCTCGAATTCCCCGTCGTGACCTTTTATATTGAGTTAATGCAAAACAGACACCGCTTACTCTGTCGATGCACTCGTTGTTAGTTCATACCTTCCCCTAAGAAGTCATAACTGCTATGGTATATTTCAAATTGATTACCGAGGTGATACCATCGTTATTAAACAGGTGTCGACTTAAATTATTTCAAAGTCTTCCACGTGTATTGCTTTAATGTTTATTTTCTTTTTTATTGTTGTTCGGTGTTCAAAATTTACTGAAAAGTATTTTATTAAAACACTATTTGAACAATACTTAGATTAAAAGAACTAAAATAACATTATCTCACCGAAACAGTATGCTTGGTAGCATCCACTTGTAGGTTTCAAGTTGTATATGTAAAAATCGTCACAGTTTTTAACCTGGATGTCATACGAACTAGTACAACATCCTCCATTATAATTTCCTACACATGCCTTTACATTTGCAATTTCACCAGAAGACGGGTAGGAACCTATCAATATAGTATACAACCGTTTGTAGTTAACATGGTAAAGATAAAAATGACTACGTAAAGCAAGCATAAATATTCAGCAACGGTTTCAAAATTCTGTTTGTGCTTCAAATGTTACTATTTGCATAAAACAGATTCAAATCCACTCGATTACTCATGGGTATTCGTTATATTGCACGGATACATATAAGGTCAAAAAATATTTTATAGTCAATTAGCTTCTAACAGTTTTATTTTCAAAGCCAAAAAAAGAAAACTTCGGCCGTGGCATTGAAAAACAGTTGCATACAACAAACTTAAATTATGTGGCTTTCCTTTATTAACTTAACCATCTACAATAACGTAGATTTATTGGAGAAAAAAGTGCTTTATCGTTTAAAGATCTTTAAATATCTGTTTTCATTCTCAGAAAGAGAATTATGTGTTTCATTTGATTATTCATGACGATTTTAAAATGCAGCTAGCTGTTGACATTTTTTTACATAAAAATATATATTGTGTTTTTATGTGCCAGCTGAGGCCCACCTCGGGTTGTTGTCTCTTTGACATATTCTCCATTTCCATTCTCAATTCTATTGATTTAATTGAATGAAATTAGTGCCTACCATCCATCCATATTGGAGAACTGGTTCCGCATTTGTATCCACCCTGTGGACATTCTGTTGGCATAGTATTTCCTACGGCACTTATTGGACGGTACCATCCTGATGTTAGAACATTGTCACATAGATTTCCAATTTCCGTATTGTTAACCGATCGCTTCCAATGATCTAAAGTTTGATAGTTTTCCTCAAGGCATGGCTCATCTACAAAAAGAATTCATTATAAATTAGACGTTTTGATGGTTTAAATGAGCAACAGAACTCATGTTTCTATTGACTACAAACACACACGAATGAACTTAAATCGCCGTACTTTAAAGAGGCTCTACTTATAAACACCGGATTTTTTTCAAAAAGTTCTGTGATAACTTTTTACACAATTCAGCTCAGTTGAACAATTTGCTCTGGCTAGGAGTTTTCTCCTGTATTACTTTATTTGGTAATGTATATTTACGTTTGCTGCAAAAACGTTATTGAATAGCATTCTAATTATTATTATTAGAATTAAACATAAAAAAAGATTAAACATATCTTTTAATATAAAAATGAAATGTACAGCTAAAACGATCGATCTACTTAATTTTGAACAATACGTAAGTAAACTCAAAGAAATATCTAATGGATGGTTGTGTAGTCATCCCGTTCATTCTTATGAGGATTGTAATCAGTCAATATGAATATTAAAAAAGATTTTTCAAATTTGCCAGTATTATGAGTAATGCGTATGCCAAAACTGACCGTATTTGGACAATGGTTCAAATAAAAAGAATGATAAAACATGTAAAAATAAAAATATGTATACAGAAAGATATGGACTTGTGTTGTATATAAGTGTCAATTGTCGTCCTCTTCTCGTTAACTTGATTCGTGTATAATATGAGGCAAGCCAGGGACTTCTATTAAATCAGAATAACAAGAAATAGGCAAATATCCTTCAACTTCGGGTAATAGAAAGAGGAAAATTAATTTTAAACTTACATCTACATCCAGGCGTAAACCCATGGTTGTCTGATGTTTCACCTGCAGGGCATGCCAATTCTGAACCTATAAAGACAATATTTTATAAACAATTTCATTTAAAGATACCAATTGTATTTCCGATTATAATCGAAAAAAAGTACATACGAATAGATATCTAATGAGAGATATCTTTAAAATGCTACTATTCTATTCGTGAGAATAGATGATGTTAAATGATATCTTTATAACATAGATATATTACATTTAAAGCATTCTTTTTTATCTGAATGAATATTCTCTTCGTTCTCACATCATACTTTAAATAAAACGCATGGTGATAACGTACCAAAGCAATACGCCTGATAGCATGTTGATACTGGCACCAAATTGTACACAAGGTAATCTGTGCAGTTCTTGACTTCTATGTCATAAGAGTATTTACAACAATCTCCATCGTAATGTGCTGCGCATGCTTGAACTGTCTTCACAACTCCGGCGTCTGGATACGTTCCTAGTATAAAATAAAAACGAAGTGAATGAAATATAAAACATAAAAAACTGAAATATCTAAATTTTAGAAAAAATAAGACACACACCAAATAAATAAAAAAAAACAAGCAAAAACGAAATCGGAAAAAAAGAAAGAAATGAAGAACGATAGACAGACACACATACAGAATAACCAAGACAAAAGTAATCAACCATCAGTTGATTCAATTCAATATTCAGCAGAATGAATATCTAACTATAGTCAAGTCTTATCGTCATATTTCTACTTTTTAACCATTCTGTCAAATTTTATATCTTTAATCGCTTGACGACAAAAACATTTATTCATACTTCATATGCATTTGTCTGTAATCTATCTCATTTTGCCTTTCTTTGGTGTAATTACTGCCTTATCAGTAGACCTATTACATTTTTAATGTATTTAATCGCTAATATATTAGTATAATGATCCCATTGTGTTGATGTCTGTTTCATTTTTGACTTTCATGAAAGAGAGTTAATACAATATAGTGGCATGTATTTCCAGGTTTGATAAAATATATATCAACTGAAACATTAATCATTCTGAAATGGAACTAATAAAATATTGTATACCATATCAAAATATATTAATGATGAATTATCCTTTGGTTATTCAAGGAGACATAATACTTTTTTTAAAATACATATCAAACAATTTAAAAAACTTAAACTGAAATGCATTCATGTATGCACATGAGCCGGATACGAGACTCAAAATGAACTAGAACATACTGTATGAATGTGTAAAATTCTAAGTATTAATGATACGCTTACCTTGTTGAGTAAAAAACAAAGATATCAGGATTATGTTTTTACCCCAACAAGGGCGTCATATGATGGTTGAAATATTTTTCTATAGCTTATTCTGAAGTTTCAAAGTACATCTTGTGTTAAATCTTAAGAAGAAGGCTATCTAACACAAAAATATATTAACTCGTCTCTACAAGACAATTTATAGATTCACCTTATATCTCAATCATACCAAGAAGAAGAAATTACCATTCATCCAAATTGACATTGATGTCCCACACCTCATTCCACCATAAACGCATTCCGTTGGCATCCGTTCTCCCGCATAGCTAGTAATACGGTACCAGCCAGTTTCTAAGGTATTGTCACATATTGCAGACGGTAAGGCAGCATTTGCAACGGACCTATTATGTTCATTTGCCGTGTCCAAAACTTTGTATGTAAGGCATGGATCACCTTGAAATAAACGAGTATTAAATCATTCACCAATTATTTTTCGTTATCAGCATGTTTTGTTTGTTTTCTTACGTTTTACATTACTCCCATTTTAATTATAAATTTAATATAGTAGAGGATTAGAATTAATCGCAAAACAAAACTGATTTATTAATATACATGAACTGGAATGAAATGAATAGACATATTCACTTATTATCTCCGCTTGTTACTTAACTGAATTTTATTGTTAATCTAATATGTTTTATAAATCCATCTTCTATACATTAAATTAATTGCAACAGTAATAACTCCAAATAATGTTCAAATGTTTTTACAATTTGAATAAGTGAGCTGGGTGATGAAACTTGTTTCGGGTTTAATCAACGAACATAATTTAATCCTTGAGATATCTTATCAAAAGAGTAAAAAATAATTGAAATAAAAATTATTGATAGCTTCAAAACTATAATCATGGTGTTTTAATTTAAATTTGTGCTATATGTATGTATCCCTAGGTTCACTATACCCTAATGGAGAACATTATTATATCTTAAATCTCTTATATTTAACGATGTGTTATAAAATTAATATATTCGACCTAGAAAAAAATGTAAACAAAATCCTTACAAAAAATACTATTTATAATATGAAATAATTTTCAAAATCTATGTTTATAGTAGGAATTTCATAAGGACAATATTATAATATGTATCCGTTTTCACACTAAAATTGAACTTTACCTGAATTTTGTAATAATTAGTTTTAGCCACCATTGATATTTTTTACTTAAATTAAGTAAAGAAACTCAAGTATCAAAAGATACTCACATTTAGTTGTTAAAAAACGAATGAAAAGTATCATAAATAATGTAAAAATCTTCTCCATTGTATCCGTATAGCTATTTTGCTTTCACATTATATATGTTACTTCCAATGCATTAAAGTCTGACATTTTGTTTGATTGTCCTCATATACTTCCTGATTAATATTGGTCACGTGATTGGTTTAAATTCAAACAAAGAATCTATTGATTATCCATATAATATATGAGCCAAAATTATAAAAAGGTAAAACGTATCAACATCATCTTTTGGCAAGGACGTAAATTTATTTTATTGTCACAAGCAATAAAAGTTCTTTAAAATCAATGAACCATCTCAAATTTTCTGCTACGTTTTTTTATTATAATGAATATATGAGCTTTAATGCATGATGTTACATACACCTGTAATTTTATGATTATTTTTTACATGTTTAGAATAGAAATGATAATTAATTCATGGCCATTCGATATCTGTATTTGGGTGGTTACATTGTTTCTTCATATCATGCATGAGAAGTATAAATCATAAAATCTATAAATAACACTGGAAATTTTCAAACAATTTGAATTTCTGTCCTGAATGTGATTAAAACTTTAAACAAAATTGACGTTAACTTTGAAAATCAATATCATTTTATTACACAAATGTATTTTCTTATATACACGGTTTAACTGATATATTAAGTAAACAGCAAAAAAAGTCGAAAAAACAACTATATTTTAAAAGTTAAAATTTCATGATCGTGTATTCCTCTAGACGTTGTACAGAAAGGCTGGCCAGTATCACTAAGTAATAGTAATTATACCTTTCCTTCACGGCAAATTGTATTTGTAAAATGACTTAGATCAGCACTAAAATTAATGTCAAGAAAAAAAATAATGAGTCGTGTTGCAAAATAATAAACAAACATATGCAAGAATTAATTGCTATAAAGTGTTAGCTAGATAGCTAGATCGTTTTATTGTACCCATGTGCCCACATACGAATATATAAAACTATTCATACTAAACAGCAAATGAAAGATTGAGCGAATCAAATGCTACGAGAGGGCTTGTTCCATCAAAAGCATCTGTCGTGTTGCCCATACATGAAATAAGTAAAATAATATGTGGTAAGGCGCATTTGTAGACCAACAAAATTTTGAAAATTGGACGGATTTGTTGCTTCAAGTGAAAAATTATGTATTCAAAAGAGGGACGAAAGATACCAGAGGGACAGTCAAACTCATAGATCGAAAACAAACTGACAACGCCATGGCCAAAAACAAAAAGACAAACAGACAAATAAAAGTACAGATGAAACAACATAGAAAACTAAAGACTAAGCAACGAGAACCCAACAAAAAACTGGGAGTGATCTCAGGTGCTCCGGAAGGGTAAGCAGATCCTGCTCCAAATGTGGCACCCGTCGTGTTGCTTATGTTATTACAAATGCGGTAAATAGTCTAATTCGGTAGGTCACATTCGTGTAAAGGGAGGGGTATTATAGTTACGACATAAGGAACATATCCGATATCATCTGTGAAACGGTTATTCCATAACGGTCAACCAACTCGTGATGGCGTCCGTAAAATTTACGAAGGGATGATTTCAACTTCACCATTTGGAACTCTTGGTTTAATAGCTTCCTTGTGAGCAGCAATCCTCTACCAAGGAAATCATGATAGGAAATACAAGCCCGGGAATATCGTATCAATTGGGAGATATATACTCCGTATGCAGGCGCTGCTGGAATGTTGCTACATAGAAATGGAAAGTTCACAATTGGGAAGCTGAAACCATCTCTTTTGTCGTAAAGTTTTGTTTTCAACCGACCCTCATTGTCAATTTCTAGATGTAAGTCAAGATATGAGGCAGACTTAACTGTATCTGTAGTATCCTTTATCTCTAGTTCGATGGGAGAGATTTGTTCAACATAGTCACCAAATTTTGTATCATTTAGTGAGAGAACATCATCTATATAGCGGAACGTAAAGTTAAAGGATATTGCTAACTTCTTATCTTTCTTCCTAAGAATTTCCTGTATGAAGTCAGCCTCATAATAATAAAGAAAAAAGTCGGCAAGAAGAGGGCACAATTGGTTCCCATTGGAATTCCAACAGTCTGTTGAAAAACACGTCCTCCAAACGTAACAAATATGTTGTCAATTAAGAAATCAAGCATCTTGATAATGTCAGTTTCAGAGAATTTTTTGTTTGAATCAGACAGATTATTTACAAAGTAGGATTTATCCCTCCCCAAGACAAGATACTTGTATCTACGTTTGCCATTCTTTTTTATGAAACAAAGTAATACCAACTCTTTCAATTTGTCTTTTAGTTTGGAATGGGGAATACTTGTGTAAAGTGTAGAAAAGTCAAATGTTTTAATACTATTGCAACATGAAAGAGTCTTAGATTGTATGTACTCTAAAAGATCTTTGGAATTTTTTAGTATCCACATCTGATTCACGCCACCTCTAGAATAGGCAGTTTCACAATAACTTTGGAGCCCGGCTTTGATTGCTGATAAAATAGATGTTAATAATTTCGAAAGAGGTTTCGTGGAGCACATGGAAGACTCAGCAATATACCGTTGTTTGTAAGGACACTTATGTAGTTTAGGTATCCACTACAGTGTTGTAAGATCCAAATGACACATATCCGATCACGGCCAATCGAATTATACATGCATAGTGTTTTAGTTTTTTTTTTTTTATTATTATCACTATTTTGTAAGTGCAGCCATACCGCATGATTAATTTCATATTCTGAAAGTGTTTACCTATTAGTGAAATTATACGCTTTGATTTTGTCGTAGAAAGTCAAAAGTAATATCTAATATCGGTATTTACGTCGTATTTGGTTAACGTCGAAGTCGGTTCAAAATACATTTTACTATAATTAGGGCCATGTAACTGGTATATACACATATTGTCTGGGTCAAGGTTTTTTCCGTGTTTATCATATTTAAATATCAAATTACAAGTTGTTTGCCAAATTATTGTAAGAAATCTATTTAATTTTAGTGACAAAGTTAATTGAAGATAATTATACGTGTAGGAAAAAAAATTAATGTCTATTTCATTTATTTGGCATTTACTGTCAAATATAATGCATTGTTTACTTTTGAAACCCATTGATTATAAAACAAAATATATCTTCTCATTGAAACATGTTCATTTATGGTAATATAACAAGTTAATGAAACGATATTGTCGCTTTTAATAACGAAAAAGGTAAATTATGTCGATATGTTTTTTTTTTTTTTTTCTTCTTCAAAATGATGTGTAAACTGAACGATTTAAATGTTAAAATTCTAATGTAAGTAGGAAGAGTAGACAACTGATAAAAGACAATTACGTTGTTCGGTCTAATATATCAAATTGATGACATGTTCATAATGATGCAGTCACATTGTAAACATGTAACAAACATTATGGAACAAAGCGCTGGTAACTCAAAATTTTGAGAGAAAATGGTTCTAATTACAAAATCAGGACTGGGTTGCACAAACGTCTATTAAAGTTAATAGTCTATTAAAAGTACACTTAAATTTGATTATCTATCATTTGCGTTGCACAAACGTCAATTAACGTTAATAGTCCATTAACTCACTTTTAAATTTAATTGAACGAAGGAGCGCTATTAAGTTCTTAATAGTACATTTAAAATGGATGCCATGCAAGTGCTTGGCTTGCTTGTACCTCAAAATCAGCCAAAAAAAAAAAAAAACTACTCAACTCGATGATTTGTCGGACTGAGAGCTTCATTAATGTGACGTAATTCCCCGTGTCCGTTCGGCCGGTGATATCGCGCATTACCTGATTTCGTCATATCCGCAATGTTACCTAAAAAAAATTGTTTTGTAATTGTTTTAGTCTTCCGAAGAGACAGAAAAGATAAAAATTGATAAGTTCAAGCATAAACAAAAATATAATTGCAATCCTATGATTAACCATATTTATTATGCATTAATAAGGGAAAATGGTTTCATTTTACGGCAAATTTCATTAAACTGAGAAAAGAACTTTTACTCGCATCCTTGGTTGTCTGTTTTGTTCAAACTGAACTGTATTTCGTAATCCTTCCTTCAAAATTAGCTATTTTTAAAAGGCATGCGCGAAATCATCGGACATTTGAAGACCTTTCAAAACAAGGGTTTTCCGACCTAATTTTGGACACATATTACACATAATCTTTTTGGTGAAATAATACATTAAGAAGATTCCATGAAATTGAGGTATGTCATGAATTTGTTCAAAATATTGTATCCGATTATTGGTTTTTATAAGTTTACCAAAGAGGAGCGAAAAGTCTTAAGGTGCACCGTACGATAACAATAATTAACCCGGTCTTTGCTATGCAAACAAAATAGGGCAGTTTTAAATTAGAGCCGTAGCTTTTCTCCGTAAAATTCTACATCCAGCAGATCGATATTGATGTCAACATTGAAATCCCTCAAATACACGTATTTTGTTGTATAAATGAAGAAATCTTCGAAATGTGTAATGTTATCTCCGTTGACGCTTTGGTGAAGAGTGCTTTCTTTCACGTCCGCATTTCTATCAAGTATGGCATGCCAAGTTAAAATTATAAATGATAACTACAGATGGGAGAAATAAATAACAGAACAGTGCACAATAACATACATTGTTATTCGGAGGACATAAGAGAAACCACGTTATAATTTTAAAATGTCCGTAACATTTATAACAAATACATAGAACAAATATCTTTTTTGCAAATGAAAACTGTAATAAAGATTAAACAAAACTATCCGACACTTTGGTATATATTTGGTAACTTCAAATAAATATCTGATATTCACATGGGACATGGGATCGGGTTCATAATTATATAAAACTGTATACAAGTAGCAGTTGTTTATTTGGTTCCTTTTTGGTGGTGTCTTTCAAAATTGAGTGAGATTATTTTACAACCGAACAACAAAAATGGCTACTTACTATGAATAAATTGTATATGGGATATTTTTATATTTCTGTTTTTTTTTCGGGTTTTGTGGTATACCGGGTCCGGGGTTCGTGCTCAATCTGTAGTTACTTGTTTTTATATTTTTTTATTGCTGTTTGTCTTTTTGTCGCGTCTTTTGCGTCATGGTGTTTTATGGTTTTATTGGACTTATACTTCTTTATTTCTCCCCTCGTTTTTATCGAGACTTTTCTATTCCTTT